CCCCAAAACCCCAAAACCCCACTAATTATAATTCATACTTAATCGAGGATTAAAAATTAAATCTTAATCATACAATGCCTCTTTATCAATCCATATTTTATTTCTTATATAACTTTTCCTATATATTTTCATCTTTAAAATATTGAATTTCAATATGAGGTCTAAATTTCTTTGTTGAAAACACTTGTAAGATTGCAAAACTCAAAGAAGTGAATAATGCCATCAGGTTAAAAAACATTAAGTATCCTATCTCATCAAGCATAAGGTCAATGAGTAAGGCTCCAAAAAGTGAGCTCAATGCATAAGATACATATAATCTTGAGTAAATAGATATTCCTCTATAGGTATTATTGCGATTTAGTATCTTACAATTTAAGGCCAAATATTTTTGCGCAGACTACTGGAGTAATACTAAAATGAGCTCCATATGGTATTTAACTCAAGCAATACCATAAGAAAAAATAATTTTAGTATCCAGTAACCCAATATATAGAGCCTGTTATTCCGAACTGCCAAATCAGTAAGACACCGTAAATTGTTTTGAATGAAAAATGATCTATTAGCCAAGCTCCAAAAAATCTTGATGCGCAATTTACTAATGCTCCCACAGATCCAACCATTGTTAAGAACTCATCATCAAATCTATTTCTCTATCCATAGATCTTAAAAGCATTTATCAAAAAGTATCCATAGCCTTAAAAATTAATTACATAAGACAATAATAGAACTTACAAAGAGAAAAGAAACTCATAAGCGATAAAAAGAGAAACTACTGAGATGTTTATGCCTAGCCCAAACTTAGCTTGTAGACTTGCTTTCTTGCTTTAGTCAATCAGTTGAATTAGAAATTACATTAAGTTTGGTTCGGGGTTTGATTGAGAAGAGACATTTTTAAAATTTTTAAGTCATGCCTTTTTGGGAGATTTATCAATATTGTCCCGACAAGAGCATGAAAGAACCAACACAATGCTAGAATTCTCCACATATGAGGCAACTATAAAAAGATATAGCTAGGAAAATTGAATACTTTGTCAGAGACAGTACGAGTAAAATAGAAATATACTATCTACTCACATATAGTAGAGTTAGAACTCAAGAATGCATTTGGAGAAAGGTTCTGAGGATTTGCAATTTTATTCGATACAATGTTGTAAATAAACACTCCAAGCCCAAAACCAGCTAAAATAACACCACTCACAAGTCCTTTTCTATCAGGAAAATGCATCCAAGCAGCAAAAATAGGAGCCATATACTATAGGATAAAAAGATTTTAATTTTACTGCAAGGCCTATTCCAAATCCGCCTATTGCGCCATAAACTATCAGAAATGGTATCAATGAAGTAATAAATGAGGTAGTTACTACAGCAGCAATATTTAGAAATGCTCCCATACCATAGACACTAAATACAATAATGAATAATTAGTTAGTTACATTCTAGGATGATATGATCTAAGAGCTCTGTTTCCAAAATACAGGCCGATTGTCATAAAAATAATAGATATTGGCAATGTTAGAAGAGTTTTACCAGTATCAATTTTACTGTCTTTTTCTTTCAGATAAGAAGCAACATAAGGTGATATATTACCCCAAATAAATATGCAGCCAAGATGCTAGAAATATGATTTTAAGGAACTTACAATGTGAGCTATGAAACCTCCTATTAAAGCTAAAATACCAGATTTTGTGAATGAAGACCGAGCTTTTTACTTATTTAAAGACATTTTATGATTATGATAATTTATTTGAATTTGTATAATTTTGTCATAAGGGGTTTTGGGGTTTTGGGGTTTTGGGG